GTTTGATTAGAGTCATGTTGGCTGGAGAATGCTAGGAATTTTAGTCCCACACATCTGTTGGTCCCCAGGCTGGGAAAAGCTGTTCTATGGATTTACCTACTTGAATCATCAGCATTACTGGACTGCTTTACACTTGTATGTCACCTGTTCTGAAGACCTTTTGCCTGGCTTACAAGCTTTTCTCATTTTATTATTGTAATAACTCTGTAAGGCTAGGCAGAACGAATGGCCCAAGATCTCTCTGTGAGCACAAATGCCACATAAATATGGCGGCCTTAAGTTGTCAGCTCCCTCAGCAACGAAGAATTATTACCCTGATATAATTACCAATATATTTGCATTTTTCCTGGCAGAGTTAACCATATGGATATCAGTGCTTGACACTTCCCTTCCTTGTGTTCTGAAAAACCTAGTGCAATCACCATGTATTTAGAAACAAGCCATGTTTAATATAATGGGATTGTAATATTATGGAGATATAATAGGATTTCTGAATAACATATATAAGACCAGGCTGTTTTTTAAACATACACCATTATTTGCATAAATGTAAACTAATTTTAAAAGAGATCAGTGTTTGCCTGTAGAGCAAATGTTTTTTAAAAAGGACAATTATGCACACACAAATACCATCCTGGTTAAAGTCTGTCCTTCAGCGTTTCTCATGAATTAATATTTTCAGGCTATATAAACATACTTCCTTTTTAAATACATCCAGCTCCCTCCACATATAAAAATTAAATTTACTTTGATAATGAACTGAGGTGCTAATCATCATTTTTGCAATGCAAAAACCACACTTATGCACGGTGGTAGAAGAAAGCGTCGCTCTCCACCATAACTTTCAGAATACAGGGAGGGCACAAGGGGGAGTATGATATTTAGAAAGAGACTTTCGACTATAAGGTTCACTCTTTTGGGTTCCTCACAGTAACAGCAGGAGGCAGCAATTCTTCTGCACATTTAAGCAGACATCCTCATTTGAAATGAAAAAGTATCTACATTCATGCAATGGCAATTGCCTCAGCTGATCCTTTCATTCCTTCTCCTCAGCCAGTCAGATAGTTTAGCTTCTTCTCCTTCTCTGGTTTTTGAATCTCACATGTAATTGCCTACATTTAGATGCTACATTCACTGAGAAATGGATTTGTTTTGCCTTACAAAACTTACAACCTGTCATTATGTCTATACAAAATGCGTATGTTTTAAACAATCAAGTTTAGAGGGCATTCATTACCTCTAGTAACTTCCATCTTGACAAATACACAGGACCTGTCTGATCTGTCCTAGGAAGTCAAGCTATCACAGTATACCAGGGGGCTGAGGCTTGAGCCTCAGTATAAGAGGAAAAGCTTCTTGGATGCCACAAGTTCAGCTAAGAGCAGGTCTGCCATCACTATGGGAGGCCTTTCTAGCCTGAAATGGCTTCCCAAGATGGAGGTCCACAGGGCCTTATTGCAGTCTATTAGCTGGCAGGCAATAAAGACCTGTTGAAGAGAGCTTTCTGAGAAGTTAAACTGACATTTGGTGCTCCCATTTTTATTCCATAACATTTTAACTTGCTGGTGTTTAATTTTAAAGGGTGCATTGTGTTTTGATTTTATGATGAGCTCCATAGATTATTCTTAGCCACCTTAATTTTTCAATAGAAAAGCAGAGTATAAGTACTGAAAACTACTGGGTTTATAAACTGCCTGAAGCCCAAAGAGACATCAAAAACTTTGGATTCCTTGTAGAAGAGTGTCTGAATTAGCTTCCCAGAGTCAAGGCAAGAGTCCCAGAAAAACCCTGTACTGCAGTAATTCCAGTAAACAGTTATTGCCTTTACAGATACAGAAACAAATTACTGCAAAGTTCCAGGCAAAATTCATGTCAGGAATATTATATCCAAGAGGCATTCATAATACATATGACTGATTGAAAAAATGACCATTCCTCACTCTTAGTTTTTGGTCTTTCAAAAGGATATTTTTCTGGTATTTGTGCCATTCTGTTTACAGATTATTGAGAGAGATATAAAGGGTAGTACAGAAAACAATTTCTATTTAACAGTAAATCTTTCACTATGTTTCTTTCAGTCAAAGAAATATTTAGGTATTCTGTTAAATGTTCTGTTTTATGTTGTAAGCCGCCCCGAGGCTTCGGCGAATGGGGCGGCATAAAAATGTTTTAATAAATAAATAAATAAATAAATAAATTCTGTCCCATTCATTGCAAATATACAGTCTTGTGGTAAGGGGCAAGACTAAGGGCTGCTTAGTTTAAATTAGATGCTTTTAAAATGCACACGAGGTTAGTCTTTTTGGGACTATTGCAGCAATTTTTAGTGTTCAAAATTAAGTTCAATATTGGCACTGTTCATTTTTTAAAATCCCCATTTTCTATCCTCCCCACACCATTTTTTATCTATGGAATTTTTTGCTTTCTTGTCAGTCATTCCCATTCAGACATCAGGTCCACTGAGGCAAAGGAGTGGGCTGAAGCAGGTCCTGCTCAGCTCTTGATCAAGAAAAGACCTCCAATATTATCAGCTAATGTGGAAGACTTGGAAATTACCTTTTGTATGGGATCAACTGACAGCAAGTTTTGGAAAGAAAGCCTCTCTCTGATCAGTACTTGATCAGAACAGGATAAATATTATGTAATTAGTCTACACAGTAAATAGTATACCTGTTTGAATCAAAACTTTCCTAGAAAAATTTGAAAGCTGTCTGAAAAGAATGAAAATCTTTTTAATGTAATGGTGTAGCCTATAAATATACTATTGTTGTGAACCAAGTTCTCAAGGCTTAAAGTGTCGTATCTTATATCAGAAAACTGAGCAGAGTAATAAAAGTTCTTCAATAAAGATGGGACAAGCATATTGGATGTTAATTGATCATTTCTACAAAAGCAAGTATAAAATATTGTACAGTATGAAGGTATCTGTCTGCCCATCCATCTATCCACCCACCCACCCAGATTCCCCCTCTCCCTCCCACACACAGAGACACCCCCCCCTCCCAATATGAATGGAATTTCTTCAAGGTTTAATTAAAGAGTTTTCCAAGTCAATTTAATTCCTCTCTTTTAAGGTCCATTTTATTATTATTTTAAAAGCTCTGTTGTTACTTTGCTCTTTTGTTAAAAGTAAGTCATTAAAGTAAAAATTAAAAGACAAAATGAAAATCCACAGTGCATAGAAAATCCAGCTGGTGTTCAATAGAACCTCTTAAGACCGAGCCTGCTCAGCAAGTGGTGAATTTGCCATACCCGATGGCTCCTGAAGCTTAGAATCTGTGTAAGCCCTAAAGAACAGGATAAAAAATACATTTTTAGGTAAATGTCACCACACTCATGGAATGATTAGGAAGTCAAATTACTGGAGATTGGTCCTTGAAGAGTTGAAAAGTCCTAATTAGCACTGCTTTTTGGAGGAGAAAAAAAACCTTCTTGAGACTGCAAATCAAAACAGCTTGTAACAGCCCACATAGCTTTCATGGTTAATTGACCTACAGCTGGATTTTAAGCAAATAATTTTAAATGATCTGGACTGGATGGGTGAAGACCTCTACGAAGAAACACTTTTGTCCTTCAGTGTTGGATATGAAGACTTCTAGAATTCTCTGAATAAAACCAAGATGGAGAAACTATATCTTGCCTTTACACCTACCATTTATGAACCATGTATTATTACTTATCATGAGCAAATGATGTGTGGCAAAATTTGTACATGTCTTTAGGATAATGGTACAATTAAACTTCGGCAGTGTTCAGATAGTTCTGATTCCAGATAGGGGGGCAGGGGGTTGTCCCTTGTTCTTTTAATTCTTCAGAATTCATAATCTGGGACACACAGATAATACACAGAGTTCAGAAACTGCTACATACTTCCTCTTCCACCATCACCTGGTTGGAGTTCACAGTCCACCACAATAATAGACTCAGTACATTAATGTAACTTTTTCACACTTGGGCCAATTTCCCATCCACATATTATAAACTCTCATCATTTTGCTTCCTACCTCCTTCCTCCTCACATTGAGCAGAAGCCCTTATTCTTGCAGACTCCCTCCTACTACTTTGCCATCAACTGTGACCTTGAGATACCTTTCCCTCAAGGGAAAAAGATGTTATTCACTCCCAACCCTCTTCAAGGTAAAGACTGACAGTGCTTTGAAATGAAAAAAACGAGAGGAAAACAAAGCCCATCATGTGGATGGGATAACATACTGCTCTAAACAGACAGACAGACAAACAAAAGGAACTGGCCTCAAATACACCTATAGATGATTTCTCTGTAGCTTCTGTGAAACTCTAAACGGTGGCAGTTTTACATTAGCTAGTAATAATCCTAATGTACTGTGGTTATTGCAATATAATAAGGGCTTTAGGAAAAAGAGCTTTCCTTTTTCCTAAAGACTCTGTTCTGAATGTTGCTACTTGTTTAATTCTTCATGCCAGTCAGCATGATGTCATATCTTCACTATTTATCTCTATTTATTGGCTCCCATTCTTTTACCATAATCATTTTAATGCAAAATTCTTTACGCTAAAATGTCTGAATCTTGATTCACCTTGGAGAACAGAGAGAATTGCACAATGTGTTCCTACGCAATCTCATTCCTGTAAATTGCTCCCATGGTGTGCTGCACAATCAAAATTGCATTAATATACCACATTCTACAACCTCATAGCCTAAGTGGACCAGCTATTAAAAGCTGTAGAACCGGTACTGAAGTTCATTAATATTATACCATTTTGGATTTATATTAACTTTTGTGTTAAGTGCTTACTATATTATCATGCTAGAAAAGGGATTATCATAAAAATGAGATTCCAAAACTATTGGGTGTAGTACAAGGACACTTGTCTAATATCAGTATTAACAACAGAGAAAGAAAAAGTAAAGTGTGAAACAGCCCAAAGTGTTTGTGTTGGAACTTACATGTGTCTTATTAACATAAGAAGATGGTAGAAGACTTGTTTCTCAGAAAGAGGCAAAGAAGGCTTCAAAATGATTGCTTTCTCTTTTGGATATTGCATTTATTACTGTAACAAATTTTAACTGCAATTCAAAGTATAAAAATACTTCATTTTAACGAAATTGACACATTAAACAATTTATTTCTGAGAACAGGTAAATTTCATATATGATTATATTCTTTAGCAACTGGACATCTACTTGTACAAAGCCATTTCAGGACTGAGGCCTTCTTACAGACTTACTCTTTTACCAGGCTTGCCAGTGAAGCTTGTGATGTTTGAAGATGCCTTGATATTATGCTGTAAGGAAGAAGTGTGTCACCAGCGACAAGATGGCTATGTCACAACAGACTCTGGCAGGAAAATAAATCAGGATGTAAAAGACAGCCCTCATGCAGTTTCCCTCCCTGTTCCCTAGATCCATTTCACACATTCCACAGAAGCACTGGCAGAGCAAGCATGAAGTAACTCGCATGGTTGGGTCTTGCTGTATTCCTGCACAATACATGTTCAGTGCTGCTTGAGACTTCCTGTTTCTTCTGTCACCACTTCTGTCAAACATATGAAGTGTCTTTGCATCCCTTTGTTCTAGCATCCGTGCCCTGGGTATCTTTCCCTAGTTTAGAAAGCACTTCTTTAAAGCCTGCATGGAAGTGAATCACATGTGCTCAGAAGAAGTACTTGAACAGAAACTAGGAGTTATTTTAAAAAACTACGTAACACAAAAGCCTAATCTTCCTCTTGTTTTCACTCCACTGTGTATCTCCACAATCCCCCTCCCCACAAAATGCTTAATCCTAATACAGAAATGGTAAAAATTCATCAGTGCTGACATACTCTTATATACATTAAACACTTACTGTCACAAACCACAATACCTTCCGTATGGAATAGCACAAGCAAACTCGCTGCTCTTTTGCTATTCCGGCCTGTACTTAGAGGATTCTGTGTTCCACACCGTGAGGGAAAGGAAGGGGCCAAAACTCTAGGTCAAGCTAAGCCCCCACCTGTAAACCACTCTTTCCAGTCAGCAACTGGGTTTCAATTTTGATTTCTTCTTCTTCTGTTTTATAAGAAATAAACTTTCATCCCTACTGTGACTATTTCTTGTGTAGGTCTTCTGCTTTTTCTTTTTCTTTCGCTTTCTAGCTGCCTCCAGAGAAGCATGAAGGATTTCTGTTTTGCCCCCATTTGTTGAGAGGCTAAAGCTACGCTGTGTGCTTGTTTTTCTGCTCCTTTTAAGATCATTCACATGACCACCTCTGGGAAAGTTCTCTTCTATGTTCCTCTGTTTTATGTCCCTGTGTTCACGGGCCTCCGCTTTGTGCTTTTTCCCTTTGAGTGCATCTGTCTGGGACATCTTTTTCAGCTTTCTGTGATGCGTATCACCTCTTCTGTCATGCTCCTTCAACACTTTCCTCTTTTTCTTTAGGCTATGCACTTCCTGCTCATCATCCAGTCGTGCTTTCTTTAGAGCCTTTGGCAAAAGACCAGCTTCCTGAAGTTCTGTAAAACCAAGACAGTTGATAATACACAAAGAACTGGTTATAAGTTGGAACCTATGTGGGGCAAGCTGCAACTTACATACAATGCAGCTCTGAAGTTTCATGAAATATGGATCAGACCAAAACCAACCTCTCAGTGTGTCCAAAATCAGTATCTCAGAGTGTCTCAGTGAGCTTATATAATTATCTGCTCCTGTAATCATTGGGCCATTCATTCAACCTCAGAGTGTGAAATTAACACAGCAGCTACAATAGCAAAAGGGCACAATCCT